TTGCCATAGTTCACTATTTGTCAAATACTGCAGTTTTTGATCTCAGATAAGTGTTACCCAACGGAAACTCTATTAACATAATCAGGTACGTAACTCTCAGCTCCCGACAAATATTAAAATGAACCATATGATTTCCCGATATTTCACAGCTTAGTCACACAGTTTGCGAAGGAAATTTTTAGAAATTCTTACAATGCAGTGATTTCAAGGTGTATTCATCATGAACTGTTATCAGCTGGATAACCACTGGGAACGTGGTAGCACTGGACAGTCATTTCGTCCTAGTATGGAACTTCTTAACAGTTAGCACCCAGTAGCCGCTGTCGAGTGCTCCCAGGTTTTACGATGGTTATCCAAATGATGTCAGTTTATGATGAGTATACCTTGGGATCTATCAGTTCCTTCATACCTTCAAAATGAATTCCCATTATGGTTGCCAGTTAGAATAGACTGTTCGTAAGTCAGCTTGCAGTCACGTGTATGCTGCATGATGGATTGCAATACAACTTGAAACAACATAATCTACTTTTACTACAGTAATAATTGACCATTATGACTCGAGTCGAAGATATGTTTCTCACTAAAAAAGTTAAGAGCATATGAATAAAGTGCTTTTTTGATGCAAATTGCTGTTCAAATAACTTGAAAAGTTTCATTATCGAAAGGAATTTTCCCACAGTGGTGTTTCCAGGATTCAACCCATAGTACGAGATGAACCCACTAACAATCTTAATGGTAGAATCTGGATAATGTCAGATTGTCAGTGAGAATATCTAGTAATGCATCAGCCTATAAAAGGTTGGTGTCTCTGCTCCAGCATTTGAATGAGTTAGAAAATCTTGCTTATATATATAGCCAGTCAGCGAAAAAAAATTCAACCTACATTCTATAGTATGAGGCTGTTAAGGTATTAGTTTTGGTGCTAAAACTGCAGAAGATATGCCAAACCTGAAAGGATACAGATCATTATTCCATTACAGTTTTTCAAGTGATAAAAACCATGGGTAAATTTCTTTTTGCTCCTTTTTACACATACCTTATCAAGTTGCATATGCAATTATAACTACCCCGAAATATTCAGTTAAACAGTTGGATTGTATTGCTGGATTAAAACTTTCAAAAGGTGAGAAAATTGAAGGTGATAACTCAGAGACATACAAGTAAAGCTGATGTGAAAGTGACAACGGAAAGTGCTTGCATTTAAGCAAGGATTAATCAATTTTTTTCGTTAAAAAAAGAAGGGGATGCTTTAAGTTATAATAAAAACAAATACAATAGAGGGTTATCATAATTCAAGTGCCTAATGCACAATACTTTCGTATCTACGGCCGTTCATAATGGGTTAGTATCCCAAGAATAATACTCACAATGGAAACCAGATGTACTCAAATCAGAAGTTTCAAATGCTATGAAACACATGTGGTGTATCCTAATATTAGCCATCATTAAATACGATTGTAGGCATAATGGTCAATTCCGTAGACTTAATTATGATTTAAAGAACTAAAAATACTTTGGCATCAGATTAGTCCGTCCTCTAAACCATGAACCAGTGCGCTTTAACACATATTAGATAAATTGGTGAGGTGCAGTAACAAACTACTTACAAGAGCCTAACTATCATGAAATAATCTAGATGTTACAGAAATTTCATACAGATAACCAGGTCTAAATAATTATTTGGATAAAGTCAAATGTGATTGACAATAAAACAAGTAATTAACAGAATGAAAGAATGGAGGATTTTCAGAAGACTGCTCTGAAATTAAGACCATTAGAAGAAAGAGGACCTAATAGGTTTATTTTTTGCATATAGATTAAGATCTTCTTTGTGAATTACTGTCTCAGTAATTTCAAGGATACAGATGTGTGTAGAGTTATAAAAATTCCTTTTTATTGTGCAAATAACTTCGAATATACAATCCCTTCAAACTGAATTGACTGGTGCTGGAAATGAATTTAGTAATGGTACTTTATGTGGGACTATTGTCGAGTATTTACAACTGTTCAGGAAATCGTTTCTATCAGATAAATCTCGCACATGGTCTCGCAACATCAAAGAGACTTATACGTGCATATGGAATTGGTCAGGTCAGACAATTCGCCTCTTACTTCTCTGAAGAAAAATCACCAAGTTATCTGCCAGTGAAACACCTCTTGATCAACCGACTCATTTTTATTGCATTGATGAATTAGGTTGGGATGTGTAGGATAGACAATACAAACAGCCAATATTCTGTCACTGCCTCCAAAAAGTAAAGAACATTTGAAACTAAGTGCTCAGTACATAGCCATACCGATTCTCTATATTTTCTTAGCTATACTGCATACCTGTAGGTTGCATCAATGAATACTTTCTGAATACTGAATTCCATTTCTGAGTAACCGTAATAAGTACTTCTGTGAACTTTTGAATGCTTGTGTTTTACGTATAGGAATACCCAAGTGAGCTGTACTCTAAAAACCCATCTTTCAGCACAGAATGAAAATCTTCATAGTGTTTAATTCCTCATAGAAAGCATTGACATAGATTCCTTTTCCTATGTGTTCCTATTTTACTATCTCCTCAAGACAGAAAATAATACTGAGACACGTTTCTCCAAATATCTCATGGAGTTTGAGTCTGGGGATAGGGGAGAATAATAGTGAGCGTGAACAGCATGAAAAACATGCCAACGAAACTGAGTATGAGTTATTCTGAGGGGTGAAACGGGTGCTAATTAGCACACTCAAAACATTGACAGATTATCCTTATGTTAATTACTATCTACTTAACTGCTCTAAATTGAACACTTTCGCTCACTACGAATATATATATATATATATATATATATATATATATATATATATATATATATATATAAAGAGAGAGAGAGAGAAGAAAAAATTAACGTAGAACCTAGCACAAGAGTGCAGCTATTCACGCTGACACACTCCAAAGTAGTACACAAAAAACAAGTTAATAGAAGAAGAATGATGTCAAAGTAGACAAAGTTGTGTGAGAGAATAAACAATCTGAAAATAAAAGTTAGTGCGAATATTCAAGCCTGGAAGATGTCATGCATGTCAACCACTGATTCCTTCCGTCTCGGTGACCTAAGCCAGGCAGTCTGCATCTCCCCACATAACTTAGACTAACAGTAAAATGCTTCATCGACTGGTAGCACGTGTTGATCTAGCCACCCTGCACCCTCTTTTGACCTATTCTAACTTCATCTAGCATTACAGGCCAAGGTAAGCAGTAGTTGGGCATGCGCAGCATATATCTAAACCACCTCAGTGACAGAAGGTTTGAAACCTCATTCCCTTCATCGCCTTCCTTGCCTTCCTTGCCTCGTACCATTTCCCTGAAGTCTATGTTGCTAATATGTTGATTTCACTATAGGAGGTCGATGTTATGAAGACGTCTGAGCTTAAAAACCTGTAATCTTTTTACATCTACTTTCAGCAGCCTTGTCTCACATACGTATCACAGGATGGAACAGACTGCAGCACAGTAAACCAGTCTCTTAACAGGTAAATGACGACGCCTAGTTACCCTTAGCAATCGCTTAACATTGGCACCATTCACATCTCCAACATTTGTTGTTGAGACGAATCACTGGGGTTAAACTATGGGTTGATTGTTATATTTGGTTGCTAATTTACAGTGTAATATCCTAGTGGTTAATCCACTGTAACCAAATTATTAAGCTATACATCAGATGTAGTATATCGCTTGTCTGGAAAAACTAAAAAATTGCTAAGCTCCTGTGACAGACCAGAAAAAGTGAGCTGATGAATAGTCATTCATTTTGTTACACATGTATTAGGATTCCAATTCACCAGTATCTAGAAGAATTTAATCCAGATCCCGCTGTTGTGAAAATAGTTAATTTTCACTTTCGTTAGTTTCTAGTGTGAAAAAATATAAATCTGAAAACTGAAATACTATCCCGCGGTTATTAGTGACATGATTCTAGATGATATTACCCGAAGTCGGGGCAAACCAAGTTGGAAGTAAGAACAAACATGTAACCATAGTATTGGTTGAAAGTCACGACATGTCAAAAATTGATAGAAGTGGTAAATTGTAGACCACTGGATTCCGAACTAGGGACTCAACAGCAACGTGCTTTCGCAGAGCCTGAGTTCGATCCCGGCAGAGTCTTGGGTGCTCACTGCTGAGGAGTCCAACATCAGAACGAAACAGCCGTCCAGCGCTCCCACGTTTTTAATGGTTCTCCAAGTGATATCGGTCCACGACGAATACCAACTTGAAATCAACAAGTCCCCACAAACACTCCAATCTAAAAAGATCATTAGTTTTTCGGTTCGGTAAGAAAACGCGTAAGTCAACACTTTCCAACAGTAGGATGAAAAGATAAAGATAGTCTGGAACTCCAAAAAGATAGGCGTTATGCGATTTAACGAGTCTGATTATGCGTGAGATTTCCAAAGTATTTCTTTGACAACAGAAAAAAGTCAAATACATCACTTAGAAATATGAGGAAGTAAGTAGAGAAATAAGAACAGGATATAAAGGGCGAATCATATCATCCATATCCTGGAAACTCAAATCAGTGCTACTTAGGTGGATTTCATGTAAGTTGAAGCTGCTTTCACACCCTCAAGAGGGATTTAAACCTATGACGCTAAGGCTTTAATAAATCTAGATGATCATCTTTGGCTATGTTATTAATATATGGTAGGGGCTTTCCGAATATCTCTGCTATTATCAATTTTAATACTTATTTTCAGTAGACAAAGGAGAAACTTTATCATCTACAATTATTTCATTTTAAGAGGTCATTCGCTTTTGGGACCACTAAAAAATGTGTTCAGTTATTCCCAACTGCATAATCCGATAATTTCTGCCTAAGCTTGTGTGTCCACGCTTAAGTATAAATTGATTGACACAAGGTGTAACGTATTCAATCACTTATTACCAATATTCAAAGTGAAACACGAAGAATTATCAACTGATACTTTGCAAGACAACAAAAACATCACCACCTTACCTCATGGATTTTCGATAAGTACTAGGTTTCGGTCGTTCAATGTGATCAGACGCCCAATCCACAGTCCCATTTTCAATACCACAGCATTCAAATATATTTTGTAGAATATCAATAATTAAGAACGAGTCTTTCCCATCATCCAGTAAATGATATGCTTTAGGTGAATTTTTCGGAACCCATAGTGTTAATTCTTTAAAATGCCAAAAGTAAAACCGTTGTAACTCATAAAGCCAATCACGTATACCATTACGCCAGTAAGGAAAATGAAAGAAGTAGAAGGAATCTTTGGTAGGAAGTAAAATTTAAAAAATATCAATGAGTGACTTATTAGAAAAGAGCTAAAAATCAAAGCTATTCTTACTTTTAACCAGCCAAAGCATATATTTCCTATGAGTTAGTGTTACTTGGATGAACAATGATAGATATTTGTAAGATACCGACCTAGTAATTTCTCGCAAACTAGATATAAGTGGTCATTAGTTAATTCTGACTATTGATATAATACCTAATCATAATCAAGTTTTCCGTCGAAGCAACACATAGATTTAATTGAACGGTTCTTGCTATCTGCATGGATTTGTGTATGAAATGGAGGTTTTCAAGAAACAGTACTATGAGTTTCATATCCATCAAGGCGGATAAGTCAGCTAACAAGACTGATCACATTATTGTTTGTTTTGCACAACACGAGATTCCGTCCTTTTACAGGTTTAAAATTCTTACATCACATTTACCTGACCATGCACAAATAAAACCGAATGAAAAGTCGAACTTCCAGCTCGTACCTAAGTGTTATACCTAAGCATACTTCTCTCAATGACTGGATTTGAGCTAAAGTGAGCTAGACCCTTTTCTATCGACTTAAAAACATAACAGGACGTACACCATAAGAACAAAAGGAACTGAAACCATTTTTTGTAAAAATCCTAAGAAATACACTGTAGTAAGAATTAGCATTCTTGCTGGAACTGAAATACAATGTTAACTATTTGTTTGCTTCACGCCGTTTGGCAAAGCATATGATGTCGTTTTCTTATTCCAGAATGAGATTGGTTTACTCCTGCGGCTTACCACCGGAAAGTAAACATTCTTTAATAAATGGATACAGTTTTTCTTCGAATGCAATTTGAAAAAGCTGCTTCTAACTGCCATGAGGCAGAAATCTCCGGTAAGCTGTGAATTCACAACACTTATCTCTTTTTCTCTGCTCATTTAAAAGTACCCAATTTTGCAGCATAAACACTGAGAAAATGTGAATCAGTTGCATAAATGCGAAAAAAAAAGAGTTCCTTCCGCTTTTCACAAAAACATAACTTTTTTTAACCTTTCATTTCTTGTCACTTCATTCACACCACATTTAATGTCTTCTGTTGATAGAACTAGTGCTAAAGATCTAACTAGATGAAATAGAACATCTTTGTTTTAAAACAATATTCTGAATCCCCCAATATTTGCATCTTGCATGAGATAATAAAACGGAAGTCAACAAAAGAAGTTACAAATAATCAGATCACAGATATGGGAAATGAATACACGATCCCGCTTTAATATAAGAGTAAAACTTGACCACTATGGTGGACTGTAGTTCCACTTTAGTCAGTTTATTCAAAATATCACACAGTGAAAAAGTATGATTTACTGGACAACGATTCAGGTATAAGTTATTGTCCATATATGAATATGGACAACAAATTTTGTCCGAAACCTTCTGCATCAAATGATACTGTGGTAGGTGCTACTGATAAGAATGGATATAAGTAGTACATACTGGGAGGTTGGCAGAAGTAACAGGCAATCACCAGCGACGGATAAAGATTCTGCAGAGAGAAATGCAAGAGGCAATGTGGGAATATGAAGAGCAAATCGAGATAAAACCAGTAGAGGAAATGAAGCATATTGTGAAAAAATGACTATTTTAGTGGAAAGTTTACAATATCTCATCACTACTGTACAAAATGTCATGTTAAGCATTCTTTCCCGCGTCTCATTCTTGTCGTTTCTTGCAGTACTGTTTCACTGTATGGCATTTCGAATAAACTGACTAAAGTGAAAGATCCAGCTTTTTTTGCTTGAATTCATCTATTCAATGTGTTAACCAGGTAAAGAATTTATCAACCAGTAGTTTTTTTTGAGTTAAACGAGTCTTTCTTCCTGAAGAAGGCCGTACACCTTTTAGTTGGTTTCTGGCCCAAAAAATAGCTGTGCTATTTGACTTCAGTGCTTAAAGAAGATAGTGTAACAACTGCAATATCTGTATGTTATTATTTGTTACACATGCCTAAAAACTCTGTGACTACAATTTGGCTGATTTGTAGATGTACTGGACTTCATTTCAAATATGGATATGATAGTTCATGAAGAACTGGTGTATCTAGATAGAAAATCACCATTCAACAACGTTCTGTAACTCATAACAATGGATTTCATCTAGCAAGTGATGTGAGGTAGATAGACTACTAGTGAACCTACAAAATTTTACCTTGGAATAACTACAAATGTTGCATGTATATACTGATCATAGTGACGTGTATATAAAACAGATATATCAATGAATTCACGCCAAAACCCAGTTATGAAGCTCCATTGGACCAATGAATAGTTTTTCCAGATGTCTAGTGTATATACAGAAAAAGTCCATTCACTTATCAATACATATGCTCTTAGTTTCTTGCCCAGTATATTATCTTTTTCTTTTTATCATTTTTTGATAGAAACAGCATCCTGGAAACTGAATAGGAAATTGACGGTAGCAACAGCTAACAGGAAACCATTGTTCCTCGATGCTTTAATTCATTGAGACGATTTTACCAAATTTCCTTAATAGAAGCTTCATAAAGGTACTCAAAAAATTATCAATCTACTTAATTTCTGTTTACCATTTTATGTGTGATCCATCAACAAAACTAACCAGTATTCTTATGTCAAACAAAAAGTAGGTTGTCTAATAGTTTTCTGTTTGAAGCACGTTTGCAGTACATCTTATTTTGTATGAATCATAAGTTGGAAGTGCCTTCAGAGTTGACTAAAAATACTAAATTTACTAAAAAGAAAAGCTAAATGAAATGGAATAGTGAAGAATATTTGTAGCTCAGGTGAATGGTCTTGGTTGTATTGTGTTCTCTGAGATTCGGACTCAAGTTTCATTACTTAGTGGGAGATGGTTAGTCATCCAACAAAAAAAGAGTGATGAAGATTATTTCTTGTGACTTACTGAACTATTCTTATAAGGGCTTGAGCCCTCCTTCATACACAACTAAAACCACAAGTATACGAGCAGGCTACTCTATTCTCTGTATCTGATAGGAGTCTCTAAGAAGCGCATCTTTACAGAAGCCAGGAAATATTTAGTAAACGATATGCTTTCTATTTGTTAAAGACCTCTTATTTCCCCACTCCCATTCATATCTGTATGATACTTAAAGCTTTCCTACCCACTTACTTGATCCTTAGTCACACATTACTCTTACTTCTGTAGTTGTGAATTTACCTAAAATATTAAAATACCTTTTCACCTTATCAAAATGTTGATATTGTTGATATAATTTTTTCCGTTAACAGTTTTCTAGGAAAAAAAGGTAAGTCCGCTTCAAACAGTTAGAGTTACAAACAAATAGATTGGTTCAGTCAAGTGAAAATCACTGTGGATGTATTTGTGAGCTGATCTCAGCATCTGCTTGATCCCTTTCATAAGCAGTCATAGGTGGACGAAGGGATACAATGGATTTATAGTCTCATTACAGCACTTGACAAAGACTGAGCCCAGCATTATTAGGCGCAAATTTCCTTTTCAGATAACTTCGAATCTGATGGAGAGGAAAATTAGCTGAGATTTCAGGAGTATATGCTTTTATTGAAGTCATTGGTAAATGGTGAGAAAACAAACAAAAAGGAAGTTGGTGGGTTTAGCAACAAGCTGTTGGTTAAAATCGTTAGGCAGACAGCAATAAAAACTGTATTATTCATAGAAGACATTACAGATAGTTTTAGTCACTTGTAGTCTCTCAGAAAAGGCATCAGGAACAATAAAACCTATTTGAGGCAAAATTTAAATATCTTTCTGGAATTTTTCTGTGGTTTTCAGTTTATCAGATGGCCTCAAGAAACAATTGAATCTGTTCATCAATTTTAACCAGTGTTTACAGATCTTCGAAAAGCCTGTGGAGTAGAACGTTACATTACTTAATGGTTTACTTCCCGACGGTCAAACATCAGTAACATTGGTTCTGGCATAATTATTTCTCAGACCGTCATACTACACAGTGAATAAGCAAAGAGGGGAAAACTGAAAGTGATGATACGGTCAAATGTGAAGAACAACTATGGAATAAGATGGAAAATACAATCCAAAGGACTCAAAAAGTATGCAGTCAGTCAACATTTGTGATATGAATGAAGATTTGGCATAGGATAATCTGTTAATTGAAATATTAGCTAAAATCCTAAACTGTCGATTACTCTGTCCATTTTACGGTGGCCGGTGACCTTATAATTCTTCGCGTAGCTATAATCAAGGGTCCATCACCACATAAGTCAGTGTTTTTTCTTGTTACTACAAGGCATTTTACTTCTAGTGTATTCTCCAAGCTATATAGATCATTGAGACAGGTAATTAGATGTCATGCAAAATGCATGTCTCACCTACTTCAGGACTTCCCTAACTTAGTTACCTATTTTAGGCATTTCTCTGTGCCTAACTTTGATATTGCTCACACAATGACCGGACAAAATTCTACCAATGTGATAAAGGCAGTACTAGCGAAATTATTGAATTGTTAAGACTATGTTTTACAACTACATTGTATGACAGAATACATTGGTTTGTTGCCTAAAGGTATTCATCAATCTGGCTGAATTCACAGTCGGTGAAACATGAAAAATGCCACATCATTTAACACAAATATTCATGTTATCCGGTACAGATGAACCAACGTCTTATTGCAATGTCCTGATAGTACACGGAAACAAAACATTTCATGTTATTAATAGGTAAATTAGTTATCAGATGGCCGTATTTCAAAGAGGTAAATTCAATACCAAATGAAGACTATTCAATCTCTTTGCCACCTATTTAGTGAATTGATACGAATTCCAACTTCTGTCGTGCTTTTGCATTGTTATCCTACTCATAATTTAGAAATCCCTATTAGGTTAACAAAACGCAATATAATCTTTTAAAGGGTATGAGGAAACGTTTACTTTGGTTTACTGGAGCTCTAGCAATATGTAAATTGTGTACGAAGGGGTAACCTCACAAATGACTGTCCTTATTTACTTCTTAATTTT